GCCTTTTTCTTGTTGCGCGTTGTATTAATTTTGCCTTCACTTTCTTCCTTTTTAGGTTAGTTAATGTTTCTTTCGTGAGGGATCAGGCTTAGCGCCATAAGCTGATCGCTGGGGCTTCTCTTGCATACAATGGGGAAAAATCGGGTAACACGATCGACGGTTTGGGGTAGCGATCCAAATTACGATCCCGGTCACGTTTTAGGTCACGTTTTCGGGAATCTTTGCACATTGGCTCCAACCCGGTTTACCTCTAACAATATTATGCAAATCGACTTATATTTATAATTAAAAAATGTCAATCAAAATTTATATGAATCTAATAAAAACTCATTTTTCGAAAATTGTATGGGCCCATTTAATACGGAGCACTCCATATGTGATTACTCCCGGATTATCAATATTAATAATTATTTATTTTGGGACGTCCTACGTTATGATTTTGATAATTATTTACGCATTTACATTCGTATTAACAGATACTAAGTAAATTACAACTCCTGAAAATCATCTATTAAATTTGCAAAATTATGTAAATTTTGCAGATCATCGAAAAAAAAGAAATTGATTTCTTAAAACAACTCTGATATCTAGGTATGAAATTGTCATATCGGAGTAGTTTTAAGAAATCAGAAATCATGTAAAATCCGTCGGATATCCGTTAAATTTAATATGAAACGGATATAGATTCAAGCCTAAAAAAAACCTTGTGATTTCTTTTTTTATGATCTGCAAAATTTACATTGTCTTTTCAAAAATTGTTCAATAGAAAGGTTAATTATTTTTTAAAAATAATTTAGATACCTAACAATAACAATTATACACTTAAATTCCGTTCCAACTTATAACGTTTTAATCCGAACTTTGAATAACCAACTTCAAAATGTTCAAAGGAGCGCTCGGAAGAGAAATCAAGTAGATTAAGAGGATCTTCAATTGAATCTACTACGGGAAATTGACTTATGACTCCATATTTTGGTTCACCTGCGTTAAAATTTATAAGTGAAATGATAACGTATAAATCATGTACGATAGCTAAATTTATCTGTTCACATTTACCTCCTGTTCCACTAACATGCAAGTCTTTTTACGAATAATAAGTGTATACGATTTATAAAATATCTTAAAATAATGATTAAAAGTTATAACTAATAAGTTACATACGAGAAATTCCCTTAATTTTTCCTCCAGTAGTGTAACTATTAAAACATGTCATAAAAGAACTTTCATTTAATATTCATTTAATAAATTAATTAGTAGTGAAATATTCTTACCCAGCATTATAATCATCTAAGTTATCAGTATCAAAACCTAATTTAACGACACCAAAAGGGTGACATGGCCCAGGAAATACATGACCATCTAAGGTAATTCAAACTGTTAGCAATGATGCCTATATATTGAAATTAAAGCTTGGCAAATAATTCTATTACTGATTTAATCAAAAAAAAAAAAAAATTAATCCTATTTTATCTAAATTAAATTATTAACATTACCATTAGCAGTTCCTATTAAGGTATTGACATATCTTGTAATATTTCTCGGGGAATTTTGACTTATATATGAATAATATTTAAATAAATTTGGATTTTGATAATTTATTGATCTTATAATCCAATCTACAGATAAACATAAAAATAATATAAAAATTAAAAAAATTAATATAATAATAAAATTATATTTTAATATCTGTTTATTCATTATTAATATTTGAAACTATAATAACGATGATAAAAATTCTATGTATGAATTATATAGATACGACCAAAAACTAATTTCAGGTAAATTCGTGTTTATATTTATATTAATTGTTTTGTGTGCATAAATATCCTGTGATAATATCGAATTTGAAATGAACATCAATGATTTTTATTGGATGTTGCTCTGATTTTATTTCCTTTTATGGGGTACGTCTAAAGCGGAGGCAACTCATATTTCTTAATAATTTTCTCGATTAACTTTAGGGTTAGGGTCATCTTATATTATGGTTAGGTTAGGTTTTAGGTAGTTATATATAAGCAAAATTGCCTTCCCGACATTTTTACTTAACCTACCTGAGGTAGATTTAGACTGCCGTTCTTTGTATTTTTTAGGTTTTTCGTTTTTGTTTCTTGCTTTGCTTCGCCGGCGATCATCAAATTCTATAATTTGATTGGCTGAGGTCACGTAAATTTGCCTCCGCTTTAGACGTACCCCTTTTATGGTAATTAGCAATCAGATAAAATCAGAACAAACATCACATGATATATATAATTGGTCAGCTGGGTAAATTTTATATCACATTATATATTTACATTACAAAATATGCATGTAGATCATTTTCCGAATTATCACCTCTGATGAGTCAAATCCGCCCATATGTTTTATTTAAGTCTCAGATTTAATAAAATGGACATACTTTTTAAATTTTGTAAAATTGCAGAGTTTTTCCAATATATGAAGGGATTTAGATAAAGGCTTCATAAGCGATTCATAAGAATTCTACAATAACAATTAAAATTGGCTATATGGCTGGCGTTAAATTATAATTTAGGCCGATTTGATAAATTATGTGCCGATTTTGCGAGCTTATTTCATTATGCTACGTACTGTATTACGTAGGCGAATTAATGCCGGAAAAGGTGAAATTTTCATCAGAATCAACCATTTTCGTCATTTAAAAGATTATTATTATAATTATTATTATTGTTTGATTTGATATTTATTAGTAATAGAATTTAGTTCAATACAAATACTGTATATCTGAATAACATATAATGCACGTATTAGATATAAAAAGTATATCACGGTTACACAAAAAACATAACATAAATTTATAACGATAATTACGTATTACAGCTGGTTTCATAAATTCTGGGACACCTAAAAATTTATTCGTTTCCCGAAATCTCTTCGGTTTCGTTCTGTGAATTATCCAACTTTTCGGAAACTACATCGCTGTCTTCGGAACTTCGGTCCGGAGACAGCGATGTAGTTTCCGAAGAGCTAGATAATTCACAGAACTAACCAAAGAAATTTCAGGAGACGAATAAATTTTTAGGTGTCCCAGAATTTATGAAAACAGCTGTAAAATATATACTACGTATCGACTTATTACCGTTACGCACTGTACGTATTTTTCATAAATTTATATTATGTTTTCGTGTAACCATATACTTCTGTCTATACGTATGTACGTACGTATATTCAGTAGCTGGTAGTGTTTCGATCCGTAATCCAAGATCTGGATTAATCCTTAAATCTAGATAAACTTAGCTATCCAAATCAGAGATGTTTACTCGGATTAGACAAAGAACTTAAATCACGGACCTAATGATGCGTCCAAAAGTTAGCTTTAATATATAATCTGAGACGGATTCAATCCGGATTTAATAAAATCCGGATGGTCTGTCAGAAATAAGATCGAAACACTAATATTCAATATAAAATTCGATAATAGCAGATATTATTTATATAATAGTGTTGTTTGTTCTTATAAAGAGAACATGACTATGACCGTAAAGGTTCTCATTATCATGTAAGATAAACCAATAAGATTAAATTCAGGGCAGGTAAAAACATTTTGTTGCTTTTTATTTATCCGAAGCTTCCAACTACAATTTTTAATACGTACTATCTCTGTAACACCAAAGGAATATACTAAGAAAAAATATTGCAGGGATTCCTAGTCCCATTGTAAGTTTAAATGCTAATGTGTCTGGGATAGGTGTTCTCGGTACATAAAAATTTGTAACCTACTTATATTGTGCGACATCCATAAGATATAAAGATGACGACACACTAGTAGGTTCTGTAATAAAAATTTTATTTTAAATATATATTATCCTAATATTATCATAGTTTGGAGATTTAAAGACTTACCGAAAGCCAATACCATATAGTCACCGATTAGCGTAACTGAATGGTAAGAAAGTGGAGGTGATGACGATGGGATTGAAGGGGCAGACCATTACAAAGAATCCGTATCCAAGACGGCTAATAGCGGTGAAGGGGTGGTTTGGTTGATCCTCCAATATGTTTGTCCACTGTATATAATTACCTTATTATTAGAATCTAGCAAAAGAAAATATTTTGGGTTTTAATAATCATAATGAATTAGACAATTTTTTATATACAGTAAGGTTATTACATAAAACAGCAGAGTGACCGGATCTGGGATCAAGGGAAGTGCCGTTTGCAGTCTATTCAAAAAGAAAAATGAATAATTTTTTCTTTAGCAAACAAATACTGTATGTTGGTCAATAATAATAATTAATGATCAAACACACCATTGTTGACCAGCTATTACCAGCTGTGTTGAATATTTGTACCTTTAAATTGACGGCAGAATCATTAATACAGTAATAAACTAAAATCAATCCAAAATCAAGAAAAATTTATACTTACTTGATGGAGATCAATAGGGACCGTAGTTATCAGTAAGGTCTAAATAATTTTATAAATTGAAAAAAAATGAATCGTTATTTGGTATAAAGTATTCAATAAATACAAGCGATATAAAGTATCATAAATTGTATACCCATTTCAACGCCTCCCAAGTAGAAAATACGCCCATCTTGTGATATCACTGCGGAATAATGAGCACTTGGTCCGGGAGAACATTCCATTTGAATGGAGTAATCATATCAATAACTAACACAAGTAGAACAATAAACCTTTTTACAAGTATTCTTTTAAAAATATTTGGTGTGCTATGCAACTTTTCTAGATATTTTCTTCATTATATAAATCTTTTCCGTGCTATTCCACATGTAATTTAAAATGTTAGAAATTGTTTAGAAAATGCTTGGAAAAGTTGCATAGTACACTAAAGGTTTTTGAAAGAATACTTGTAGAAAAAGCTTGTTGTTCTACCTGTGTAAAATAATCCAAAATTTATTAATGTTAAAAACAATAAAATGAATCAAATGAATCAATGACAAAATAATTTATACCGCAAATGGAACTTCTCTACTTCCGCCAAATATAAACATTTGGCCCTTAGAATTAATGACAGCGTTGATAGATCTTCTGTTTGATGGCGGGGTACCAATAATTGTTGGTGGACCCAAAGTTAAAGCATTGACTTGTAAATATAAACGAGCGAATTTGAGCAGGTGGTTGGATTCTAAAAAAATATTATTTAATAATTAATTAATTCATTGATAAAATTATAAATTTAAATGAATTATAAATTTAAATACCTCTTGGACACCACAAAGATAAAATTTGAAGTTTTGTCAGCATCACAAACGGCAGTTGTTCCTGCAGCGATATCAACGGGCAAAGGGGATGAACTATTATAGTATTTCCACGGAGGCGAGTCTGTGGAAAAATCATTAGAAAAATCCTAATAAATAATTAAATATATATATAATTGGTTAAATTGTTCTTTGATATTTTCAAATTCAAGGAAATGAATAAAAAAAAAAATCGATACCAGTGAAAAAACCTCATTTGAGGCAATGTTTCGTTGTTTATCAACGAAGCCCCTGAAAAAATAAAGTTTGGAATTGGGGTTAGTGGTTAAGGCTGTCATATGAGCAGCCCTTGGCCCAGGTGTAAAGTTAAAACAAGATGAAATCGATATGTCGCGAAAAAGAAAATTAAAAAAAAGTAAAGATTTTGACATGCTCATTAATTTAAAGTAATTACATTCAGACATGCTCACCCAAGTTTAATAAAACGATTCGCAAAATAAAATAAGTTTACTGTAAAATTTTAATTCATCGAATTTCACCAGATTTCATTGAATAGTTTATCGGATGTAAAAATCACGAATCCAAGCACTACATCGAAATGATAACTCTTTGGTTAGTTTATTCGAATTCCGACTATTAGTAGTCGAGACTTAAACTATTGACTAACCTAAGTCGACGAAATAATAAATATCGATCTGAATGTGACCTTAAATCGATCAAAGAAATTTAATATTATAGGCGATATCTGTAGCAACTTAATTTCGGATCTTAGGAATCTCTACGTGGTTTAAAGGCATTTTTAATTATTGTGTTTCACAAATGTTTGCAACAAAAAATAGCAACCCAAGAAGAATGCCTCTTTGTTTCGAAAATGTTTTTTCCGATTCATCAATATTGAAGAAAATCTCTTAATAGATGCCGTAAAACCTTCATTTCACAGACAATCTATGATTTTAACATTGCAATTAGTGATATGTCGGTTGTCAGTCTCTGAAATGTTCAATTCCCATCTGTTATTTTAGAATTTTAAATCAACTTGAGTTGATTCTGAATTTATGATATTAATTCTGTTTGCATCTAAGTTGTTGAATCGGAGTTCTATAATATAAATAGAACACGACCACATTTTTATTAAGTCGATTTTCCAAAAAATCGAATGACTTAGCCGGCTAAGTCGACTAAGGCGAAAATATACGGTTGAAATACTATTATTATTAAAATTAGGTGATGCAATAAAGTGATCAGGTCATAACGATATATTGGTTACGAAACCCATCTTTTATATTAAATTCCGTATAAAAATTGCATAAGCGATTCATAAATAGGCTTACAATTACTGATCATAATAATCCTTTTATTCTCAGTAATAATGCTAAGATTTTATTTAACCTTATCACTCAAGTTAAATAATCAAAGACTCATATGAATCCCCAGTCTGCTTAGCATGCATTATTGCATCGAATCATGATTCGCATTGTAGCTCAATCATTACGATATTTAATGATGAAAAATTATTATAACCCGTAAATCCAATCCAATTCGTAAATTCATCATGTATTCAAAGTTACAATTACATGAAATATCGATATTGATTTACGGAACTTACACAAAATTACGTAAAATTACGGTAATTTCACAACGTTATTTGCTATTGCCCTCCCCTAACTCTACTATAACTTCTTTGACCCTTACCCTATAATGCGTACGTTACAACGCACCTACAGCAAAATAGAAAATTCTTAAAATAAATTTCCTGTTTTATGTATTATAATTTTTTTTTTTTTTTTTTTTTGATTTCAATTTTTTATTAAAATATTTAAATTATAAAATTGTAGTTCATATGGGGTCTTTGCCTTGAAAATCAAGTTTTGATCCTACGATTTACTATGTCACACAAGGTCATTTTCAAGGCAAAGACCCTATTTAAATAAACAAAATTTCAAACCTACCTTGAATAAATATGATTCATTTCACTTATTACTAATTTAATGTCTCCGCAAAATTTTGTGCCATTTCTTTAACATGATTTATATGTTCTTCACTTCCGTATTCCTTTTCAAATGCTAACCATTTTTTAAAGAAAAATTTCATATTTTTTGATGAAAATTTCATTTCAGTAATCCTTTTAAAAAGACGCCTATAATTTATGCATAATAAAGTGAATAAGCCGTTATTTGAAATAATAAACGATTTTTTTTTTAAAAAAGTTCCATACCGAACTATGTCAAAATCGCCAGCTTTTATTTCCATGTCAATATAAATAGACCATAAGTCTACTCTCTTAGGATAATTACTCATCATTCCTTCGAATATTGTACGACCCCTTTCAGCCTCTCCATGTTTGAACTCCATTTGCGCAAATTTAGTTATAGCTTTGATATCTAAAAAAAAAAAAAAAAAAAAAGCATTTTCAACTAACTTACATGCGAATATTAATCGCATAATAGTAAAATAAACTATTCTTACGCTTTCTTTTTGGCAAGGTACGTAAACTTCGTTGAAGTAAATCACGAGAAGCTTGAATGTTGCCGTGTTTGATATGAAACAATCCCATTTTTGTCCAAACCTTGCAACTTTGAGAAAACTTCTTCAGCATAGTATGATATGTTTGTTGCGCAAGCTATAATTTAAACAATCAACAATACAATTATAGGATTTTCACAATAACTAGATCAATTGAAATTCGGAAGATGCAACTATACCTCTTTCTTATCTGAACGTTCATAAATATCCACAAGCAGCATATATACTTTCTTTTGATCACAAGTCTGTAATGCTCGTTTCAATACATCTCCAAGACTTTCATCTGTTCCAAAATTATTCTCCAAGTTCATAAGAGCAATCCATACATTCATCTTCTCTTGTTCTTCCCGATAATTGATAGTTTTCAGAGCACGTTCACCGATATCACGTGCCTTATCAATTTCGGAAAGTTCGAGTTGGTGAGCCATGTAATTTATCCATAAATACGAAGAATTAGGAGAACCCAAGAGTAATCGTTCAAAATCAGCATTGACTTCAGGTTTATGTTTCAATAAATCCTCTGTTTTATCTACAACGTCAATTGCTTTGGATTTTTTTTTTTTTTTTTTCCCTGGTAATTCGTCTAATTTTTCATTATCTGATTGATTGGCATCAATATCATTACTTGGCACATCGGTTTTTTCTTCATCTTCCCATTTCCAAGCACTGGAAATTGGTAAAGGCATAATTTCAACCTTTTGTGAATTGTTTTTTACTTCGGCCATTTCATTATCATTTTCACTGAAATCAGATTCTTGACTCTGTAGATCATTTGAATCAATTTCCATCTGTAAATTTGGGTTTTCCATAAGATCATCTTCAACCTAAAAGAAAAAATATATATTAGAAGCCATTTGGAATATAACAGCTTAAAGTTAATCAGACAACAAACCTCTATGGCATCTTCCAGATCATGATCTGAATCTTCAAGTAAATCTATGCCATAATCTTTAAAACATGAATTTTTAAGACCGAAGGCGACTTTTTGTGTAGTATAATCGATGTTTAAAATCACCGCAGTTACATGTTGTCCCGTTTTATATAGTGCTGATACATCTTTGACAAAATCTTCTGACAATTTTGATATATGACAAAGACCGCTCACAGAGCTATTGTTAATCTTAATAAATACGCCATATTTTTCTACTGCAGTAATAGTGCCTTTAACCTTTTGACCAGGTGAAAAGTCTTCAATATACTTTGTACCAGGTACAATAAATTTTTCTTGTTGATCCGTTGCTTGTTGAAATGTCACCAAAACACGATCTATAAAGTCATGTTTGTTTATATTACTGTCATTTTCGTGAGGAGGAATGTGAATTATTTGTGCTTTCATTTTTTGCTTAAATGAATAACGCATAAGGGATTGTGTTCGATTATTATAACTTTTTGCTGCAGCAAATGCAATCGTATTACATTGCTCCGGAAGAGAAACAATAATATAATCTTCTTTAACTAATTCAACAACGGCGTCAACTGTAATACCCCGCTTGGCAATTTTCTTGAGTTCCTTTTGCTATAGATTTTTGATATATACCGGTAAGTAATTAACTAACAGAAAAATACTATTCTACCTTAGAACTTACTTTATTATCAGTGGGCTGGCTGTTTTGATCTTTAAATTTATTTATTAACTCTGATCTAACGGCCAAATCTACGCGCTTTCCTTTCATATCCAAATCAATAACAACACCATATAAAATATCATCCTCTTTGACCCCTTCGTCTCTACAATTGGCTTGGTCTTCGTGTATAAATCCTTTTACCTTGGCACTCGTATTGTCCTCTAAGAGGACATTCACTTCAAATCCTAATACTCCACGTTCAGATATTTGCTTCTTAACTTTACACTTAACAAATTCACCAATGTTGAATTTTTTCTCTGTCGTTAAAAGTGACGTTTGCTCATTTTGAGGTAAAAGTTCACTGAAGTAGGTTCTTATAAAATCACCCTGTGTTATATATGGAAGTGCCGTAATAGGAGTATCAGATGACTTTAAAGACACCTCGCATCTTGAATTTTCAATATCTACAGAGATTACGCGGCAAATAACTGATTGATGAGGATAAAATAATCCAACTGGACTTGCAACATAATGGTCTGCAATCATCTAAAAATTTAAATAATTTATTAGAATTTATTTACAATGAATATTTGAAATGTAAAATGAAAAATATAAACAGACTCTTACATGTCTCATGGCCCTTGCGCTAAATCCTCCCAAGAATCCAATAAATACAGCATAGTCTGTAATGCTTTTCACATATCCCGGTATTATGCTACCCACTTCGACATCTTGTATTGATTTAGGTAATTTACCATGTTTTGCGGCTTCAATAAGTAAATGCTTATGGCTTACATTTGCAACTCCTTTTACATCATTTTTTGAAATTACTAGCAGATCCTTTAACATGTAACCTGGTTTCAATAATTTAACAATGTTTGAAAGGCGAGTAGGTGACAAGTGATCAGACAAATGTGCTAAATTTAGATATGCACGAAGTTTTAAAGGTTCCAAAGATAAAGCTATAACTTCTTCTTGAATTCGTATTATATTGCCTTTGACCAGCTAAAATATGATGATGCAAAAATATACATTTAATAAATAAATAAATAAGTAAATAAAATCCGTATATCGATAATATATACATATTTTTATGTATAGTAATAGCTTTAACAACCTCTCCTAGCTGAATACCAATCGGAAATACATTTTTAGATTGCTCAAGTCGAAGAACATGTGGTTCAAGGGATAATCTAATTATCTTTGCCTCATTTGAGATTGACATATAAACAATCCTTGCAGTGATTTCATCTCGTTTACCAAAGGTCTTGCGTAGATCCTGTGTATCTGATGTAATTGCTTTCCCCAAGTGTAACAAATCAATTTCACATTTCATTCCGTTGTATTTGCATATTATGCCACTGGTAAGTACTTCATCAACTCGCACCTTAATCAAATTTCCAGGAGCAAGTGAACTTATATTGTGAACGAATTTATCAGATAAGATCGCGTTTGAAACGATATCTGGACTAGCAGTTACTTGAATTATTAAATTTTTATCAGCTACATTGATAACGCTAACATTTAATAATTGACCCACAATAAGTGGACGTCCATCGTTGAAATTGGTTTCATAATCTGCCGCTTCTTTTTTGTGTAAGAAAACATTTACTCCACTCATTCCAATTGAGAGAATATAACCATGATCTTCTATACTTTCAACGGACGCAGATAATATCTATAAAAAGTTAGCACATTTACTCCGACATAAAATTAAATGAATAATTATTACATAAATAGCACATTACCATGCCTTTAGAAATGTCGGCACGGACAATATCACAATTAACAAGTTTCGGAATTAAACTTAGTTCGATTTGTTTATTTTTTATTTTGGCATCATTATTTCCCAGTTGTGTAATCACACATCGAACCCACTGACCAACTTTGAATAATTTTGACAATTCCGGTAATTGATTCTCATCATCACTATCATTATCCATATTGGCTATATCTGCAGCTTTCTTGGATAATGGTTCAGAAATGCCAGTAATAGTAACAACTCCTTTTAACTGATTTGGAAGAGACACAGTCATATCCAAGGCATTTATTTCCGCAATTTGTCCAAGACAGTATGCCCCAACAATCAGTTTCTGTAATTTAAGAAAGATTAAATCTTTATCAATGCGAAAAACATACAAATCTTTATTGCTTACATTAAAACTAATAATTTCAACAATTTCATCGTGTTTACTATTATGATTATTATTATATGCTAATTTAGAATTGTTATTACTATCAACAATATGAGTAGATCCAGATTTTAGTTTGGAAGACTTTGTTTTCTTCTTGGTAGGTTTTTCCGTCTCCAAGTCAGAGTCAGAGACCTAATAATTAGAGAAAACAGAAAATAAATTAAAAGTGAAAAAACAATTGAAATATATTAAATCCAAAATAAAGCTTACATCAAAAAGGTCATCTTTAATAGCTCTTTCCCTTTTGGATTTGAAAGGCTGCGTTATAGTATCACTTCGTGGTAAATCAACTTCTACATGCCGTTGCGGAACGCATACCGACTCCTTTAAAATAGTGGTCTTGTTCGATAGCTGTGTAGATACAACTTTCGATATTGAACTTTTTTGCTGTTTGCTTTTTGCCTTGTTTTTTCTTGACGAAGCTTGCATAACTTTTCTTTTACCGAATCTATGTTATAACAAAGATCTATATAGAAAAAATTTTATATAATTCAACCAATTAAATCAAAAAAAAAAAAAAAAAAAAACCGATTAGATTTGTGTAACCACCAATGTAGATTCTCGAAAAACGTTTTTTTAGATATTCTGCGAGTGATAATTAATTAGTGGCGCAACCAAAGAAAACGTCTTATTCACTAATTTGAAAATTAGCACGGGTCGCTCCTCAATTCTCCACACAAAAATATATTTCGCTAATGCGAATTTTATTGTTCGAAGGACATACGTGTTAACAAATACTAAATTTTTATTGGTTGTTTTTAACGAGAAAATTTTTCTTGATTTTGATTGGTAATTATAATAACAAACCACGTGTATAAAAACCAATTAAAAAATTCAATCTTCAATAGTTTCTATTTTCTTAATATACGCGTATTAAACTAGTGTTTTTGAGTAAACCCACTTTCAGAATCAAGTTAGTATTTTTGCATATTGCTTTGAGGTTTTAAGATAGTTAGAAAGGAACTGGAAGCGCGTCGTGGCCACAGTTTGCGAAAGTTACTAGTCAATTAATCAGACTTGGCGTACAGTGGACGGCCTACTGTGAACGTTCTTCCTTTCTAACTAAAAGATTATGTGGAAATACTAACGGGTCATAGGGCACGGAAATGCAACAAATAAAGACGGAGTGTGTAATTTAAACCTCTATGAGATTTTTTTGAATAGGGTCGAAGAAGTGTGGCTATGGATTTCCCTATACGTGTGTGCCTAAATTGCCCATCCTAATAAAAAAGTAATTACGGCATTTAGGCAGCCGAAATTAATCTTATATAGTGCCGAAATTAATTTTCATATTTGCCGAAATTATTGTCAAAAATTTTTGAACTCTTTTCATCAAAATACATCATATAGCATAATTATTTCAGAGGGTTTCATATAAAAAAATTTGGCAATGCCGAAATGTTTGCCGAAAATACTTTTTTTCAAAAATAATTTAGACACACATGTATAAGGGTAGCTACCCTCCTACGTTATATAAAATTTGGGTAGCTACCCCAGTTACGGCTATGACGTATGTTATTTCATGTTCTAATGTCCGCACCTTTAGTAAAAAAATAATTTTAAATATTTTTTATAATAATACTTATTCTATTAAATATTTAGTTAAAAACTATTTAAAACATTTTAAAACACGCATTCAATAATAAAAGTTTTAATAATAAAGTATTTTAAAGCGAACTTATTTTTTTCTATTGTTCTAAAGATCAATGATGTAATATCACATAGCATATCATGTTAGTTTATGACATATACAAATTTTTTTAAAAGTCCGTGGGTTAATATAAAATGATCGACTAATTCGTCATACGATTAAAAAAATCACTATCTTTTCTTTCCCATCATCATAATCTCTTAATTTTTTATCTTTATAACTATCACTCATTACATACATCTTTTATTTTCTTTGTAAGATGAAAGTTTTTTTTTTTTTTTAATTTATAAAACATTATTTTTAAATTATGATATTTTTTAAATTAATCACTTATGTTATTTTAGATCTTAAAAAAAAAAAATATGTTATTTGGCTGGTTAAAATCAATTTTCAGGGAACCCATATCAATTATATATCATCATATTATATGGTTAATTTTAAGTATTCAAAGACCACTTGCGATCACAGTTGAAGGACCTTTAGGAGAAAATACTTATAGGATATTACCACCAACACCACATCATGATGCGAAAACTTATATTGGAATGATAGTTGCATTCTTTATGGATAATGGTATGGAATATATAGGTAGTTTGATAGGTCAATATATGCATCTTGGACCTCCAGTGATGTTACAATCAAGTGAAGGATTAATTCAAAGGGATAAACAAATTTATGAACAAGAGAAAAATGAGAGTGTCAATATTAATAATTATGTTGATTCTGAAGAACTTACTAATATACTTGAACAAGTAAGCAATCAAGAAAATGTAGAGCAAGTAAGAAATCAAGAAAATGTAGAGCAAGTAAGAAATCAAGAAAAAGTAGAGCAAGTAAGCAATCAAGAAAAGGTAGAGCAGGGAAGCAATCAAGAAAAGGTAGAGCAAGGAAGTATTCAAGAGGAGAATATCGATCAATATGATCAAAATGAAATAAGTTTTAATGATAGTGGAATTGATATCGGAGAATATTTACCGGAATCTGATGAAAATAATCGAGAGATAATTTTTGAAGAACAAGAACCACAAACAACTAATGAGTCATTAAAAGCGCAGTTTATTTCAACTGAGAAAGAAAATGAAATTGAGGATAATGAATTTTTTCTCGAAACAGGTGGTGAAGGAGAGAATATTGGAGTCAAATATTTTGAAGACAATTCAAGTGATGTATTAGGATCACCTAACAGTGAAACAAATTATAGCGTATTTTTCGATATTGAGCCTCGCGTATACAATGATCGAGTCATTCCGATTGAAGGTAATCTATTAATCTCAATTGTATCCTATTAGTACAACATTTTTTTATGTTAAATTCACGAAAATCGTAATTTAGAAGAAGGTGATTGTGAAAGTGATATTATCGATAATGAAATGGATATTCAAGAATATGTTGAACCTAATATTAGCAACATTATCTTTAGATAAAGATCTATTTTCATAATTATGCGGAGAGAATTAAAAATTAATGCACGAATTAAATTTGCTAAGGTTAGTAAAAAGTTTCAATATTAAAAATGTTATAAATTAAGTATATGTTATTCTAATGCTTTAATTTTGCAAGAGGTAATTGAAATGTGGAATATTTAAAATATTATTAGCGTTAAACATTATAAACGACGTTCGTAATGTCGATATTATCGATACAGTACAATATACGTAGTAAATATTAAATATCTGATATACTAATAGTATAATATGCAAACCATTTACATTGTTATTTCAAAATAAATTCTCAGCCAAGCCGGCTTACAATATATTACATAACAAATATTTAAATGAATTTTGTTACTTTGTTATTTTGCTACATGTCCTCTTTTAGGAGGTTAAAAAAAAAAAAAGAAAGTATTTTGTTGTAACACAAAATTTGAAACCTTATCGTTATTTCCTGTATTCACTTGATCGGTTCCGCTATATGATCTGCATTAATATCAATATGAAACGTTGTTTATTTCCCATGGCATCCTTATGTTTGACATTTCAAATTCTTATATCAAGAAGTGCAGAAGTGTGAAACGACAATTAATGTAGAGATCCGCAAATCATATGAAAAGTAGTAGTTTACAGTTAAATTTTTAATGAACCTGGGTTATTATTACGTTACGACGGATATGTAACATATTAGTATGGTACGGCTGTTCAGTATGGATATAGTTATTCAAAACCATTAACATAAGAAATATTTTATTGGATCCTTTTTTTTTCTTATCGTTATAGATTTCAAAATATAAGTAAATGTAACACAGTGGAGATATAGGATTAATTCAGAAAAAAGCCAAGAAGTCTTGGCTTGGTCAAAATGCAATCAATAAAACATTTTTATTCAACGACCTTTTTTTTTTATTGTTTTTTAAATTCTATTTGTCAGACAATACGTACTATATAATAATACCCAATTGTATTTGTTTGTTTTGAAACTCGTTTATAAATTATATACGTATTTATGCAAGATTTCCGGTATTACAAAGCACGTTTAGATCTAATTTTTTGGATAGCCAATTAAATTTTTCTCATATCGATATTACCAGAGATAAGTATATTAATAGAAATAAGATCATTTCCCGCGTTCTAAATATATTATTAAAAATAGTAATGCTAAACTCAATGCGACTTATAGACTTGTACACGTGACTATCTTCTAACTAATTTTCTACCTTGATGTTTTTTTTTAATGTTTCAAAAATCTTATTAATTATTTTATACTATCCATTTATTTACAAGTATAATATCTTCAATTCATTTCCTATAAATACTTATACACATCCTTTTTGTAAATGTTGAAACTTCGACAGGTTCGTTAGTATCCATTTAAGAGTATTGACAATCTCAAAAAAAAATTACATAATTTATATACAAATAAATATACGACAAAATAAATTAAAACAAACAAAAACATCAAAATATGGGATATATTAATATTATATTAATTTCGTTTGCGATTCTTTACATGCTAGCGTCTACTGCTATGTCACAAACATTTCCTAAAGATTGGCCAATGAATCCTGCTCCTCCAGAACCACTAGGACTTGACGGGAATTGGCCACAGGCGGATGTTGGTCCACCACCAACACCAAATTTTACAAAGCTTATAGATTTAAGTAAAGTTGCAAACGCACCAGTTAATCCATCACCAGTTGCTTGTGGAACTAATCTTCCTAATGATCCTTTTTGCAATTGGAGTTGTACTGGTTGTACTCGAGCTACGGATGTCGTTAAGTGTCCTAATGATTTAGGTAATTCTCATAATATTATTTATGATTTAAACCTTCAAATCAAAGAGTATTAACAATGTCTTTTTATATATATATTTATTTATTTATTTATTTATTTTAGATTGGGGTCTCAGTTTTGATGATGGCCCAACGTAAGTTATCTCTGTAATTTATTCAATCGCTTTTAATTATTCGTAACTTGCATATTCTTATTTATTTATTTATTTATTTTTATTTATTTATTTTTGATAGTGTATTTACAAATACACTCCTCGATTATTTAGAATCACAAAATGTAAGAGTTACCTTTTTCGTTATTGGTTCTCGCGTAATTCAAAATCCTTCCATCTTACAGAAGGCTTTTAAAGCTGGTATGTCATTATTTTAACTAGTCATTTTTATATGTAAATAAAATTTTTTAACAAATATTAAAAATAATTTTAAATGAATTAATAGGGCATCAAATTGGTGTACACACTTGGTCACATCCTCTACTTACTTCACAATCCAACGAACAAATAATTGCTGAACTTTCATGGACTAAATTAGCAATTCAAACAGCTATTAATGTCACTCCTATTTATATGCGACCTCCATTCGGTGATTATGATGATCGAGTTCGTGGTATCTGTCAACAACTTAATTTGACCCCAACAATTTGGGATTTAGATACTAATGATTGGATGTCTCAAGCTTATAAAAATTTTCAACTTGATTCGATACCAAATAACTTCTCTGAGTGGGTAAGCGATCCGAACCTTATGAATAAAGGTCATATATCTCTTCAACATGATTTATTTAATCAAACTGTAAATCTAGTTCCTCTCGTCGTTCCAATTATTAAAAAAGCCAATTATAATATTAAACCTATTTCAACTTGTATTGGTGATAATAAACCTTATTTGGAAAATATTGTTTTAGAATCATCTAATTCAATTAATTATCCAAATATTCAAAATGATAATACAAATAATTCTACATCAAATAAAAGTTCCTCTCCAAATGCATCTAATTCTACCAAATTATTCATTGGTAATTTTTGGTCAATTTCTTTGATATTAGTTTTATTTGGATTAAAGGATAGATTATTTCTATAATGGCTTTTAATTATCAAAATATTTGTATATTTAAATTATCTTTTTCTTTTTTTTTTTTTTTTTTTTTTTTTTTTTTTTTTTTTTTTTTTTTTTTTAAATTTTTTTTTATTTTAAATTTTTTTAAGATTTTTTTTTTTTTTACTTTTAAAAAATATTTTTTTTTTT